ACATTCACATGTTGATATCTACAATTTCAGTGATAATACATGGGGAGGAAGATTTGATATGCCAAAAGAAATGGCACATTCGCATCTAGGAATGGTAACCGACGAAAGGTACATATACATTGTCACAGGACAGTATGGGCCACATTGCAAAGGGCCCACTGCCCATACATTCGTGCTTGATACTGAGACAAAGCAGTGGCGGGACATGCCCCCTTTACCAGTTCCTAGGTTTGTTTTTGCCTTAATAAGATTGCATAGAATGAAGTGTATGTTTCTGTTGTTAAATGTTGTGTGATACTGAAATCGATCACTGTGTATTCCTGTATTGTGCTGCGTGCATACACATGTTTGTGAATGAGAATGTCATTTATACCATGTCTTTCTGTCATTTTGCTCGTATTTAATACCCCCTGATTTCATTGTAGGATATCTGTTTATACATGTATATATTATGGATGTATTTGTGTATTTGTGTGTGCTCATGTATATATATATATAGGGTAGTGTAGCTGAGCCCAGATATCAGGATTAAGGCTTTGTTGAGTTGTAGCCTTTGTTCGCTGGTTTCTACTTAGCTCACAGGAATTTTTTGTACTGATGGTGTGAACTGGAAAATCTATTTGTTAGTGTAAGGTTTCATTAGTAAGTATTTGTAGTCCAAAACAAATCATATAATTTTTCTTCTGTAGTTCATGGGTAGATTGAATGGTTTTAATTTAGTATTTTTCAGGTTCGCACCAGCAACTCAACTTTGGAGAGGTAGACTACATGTAATGGAGAGGTAGATCATTGGAGTCTTGCTGTTAAAGATGGAAAAGCATTAGAAAAGGAATGGAAGACTGAAACATTCCCAGGGGTGGACCTCATAGGTCTGTCCACTGTTTTATTCTTGCTGCGTTTATGTAACTAAGCATTTCATCATGGGAGATCTTGGTGGAATTCCCGCATATGAAATTGAGCACAATTTTGCATTCATTGGCCTTGAAAGTGATCACATAAAATTAAATCATAAATTTTGAAGTTTTTTTTACCAATAACCATTGTTGAAAGTTGTGGGCAATCTGTTGGTATGAGCGGTCTCTTCTTGATTATTTTCTAGGTCCATCTTTCCGTTTGTGATCTATCAATTCCAGATTCTTTCTTATATGTAGCAATGAGAATAATCCTCTTTGGTGTCTTAGGGCAATAACATAAAGACAAAGATATACACTCCCTGCTTAGAATGTTTATGGAGCTAAACTTGGGGTTCTGGTGTAAGCTTATTGATGTTCAAATTTTGCTGATAGAATTACTTGATCTCCATCACACCTGAAGGGAATAAATGGAGTAACTTCTCTAGAATTTTGTTATCAAAGTCAAGACCACATCAGGTCCCATATCATCTGGAGGCATGCCTGGTCCAGCTTCCTTAAAAAAGTCAAATTCTGGACCGCGAAATAAGCATGGGGAACTTCTTATGAAGTCGTCTGGTCCTCAATCTGGTGGGGTAACACTAACTGGCCGCCAAAACTTTGGACCTCTTCCTCCTTTTCTCCCTGCAACGGGTCTCATTACATCTGGACTCATTTCTTCTGGCCCACTAAATGCTTCTGGGCCCCTCGTAAGGTATCTGGTCCTTTGGAGTCCATGGGATCAATGAAAGTACAAGGTTCCTCCATTGTTCACAATCAGGCCATTACTACTCTTAGCCAAGATGACGAGTTTTCATTTAGGAAGAGCTTCCCAAAGCTAATATTTGTTTGTGCCTGATAAATCACGGCCATAAGCTGGCCGAAGGAGCCCCTTCTCTCGGCCCTGGCACGTGTTCGTAAAAACTGAAACGCAGCGTTTCGCCAGGGTACTTCGCCTTCCTAAAGACAAAAGAAGAAATGCTAAGGCATGATCATCTCGGCCTCAAGCGCAGGCCGAGGCCGAGGCCGAACAAAATCACGGCCAAGGCATTAAAGGCAAATCATCACGTGACAGCAGGGTGCCAGGCTTCATTTAATGAAGTAGTGCTTGTTTAATGCAGCAAACCCACTGGCCACAAAGAAGCATTTAATGCATGAGGGAAGGTGGGAAGTGACTGAAGTCAGGATTTGGTGATGAGGATCAGAGTGATTAGACGTGGACATTCTCACAAGAATTCTGACA